CACAATGGTTTTGGTCTAGCTCCGCCACTGGTCTATCAACGTAGTTGATTGCTGCACGCTTGAGTGGCCTAAAGCCCTAAACACATCAGACACATAAGCAATGCAAAACAGAAACAAATGGCCAAATTTTGCTGTTGTAGGAAGCAAGTCATGCCAAAATGCTTTTTTACAGACAAGTTATGCAATGTACTTTCAGGTATGTGATTACCATGCTTTGCAAACAACCGACCTATTTGTAATCGTTGACCTGACACTTCATCTTTCCTTCTCCGCTATACGTTACGTTTTGCTACTTTGTGCTTATAATTCCTCACAACTGTTCTTTTTGTGGGTAGCTTTATTTTTATTAAATGAAGCGTGAAAAAAAATATAGTTGGAAGGCACTTTTTTTTTAATCTCTTGTCTATTTTGCTACTCAAGGCGAATAAATTAAAATGCAACAAAAAAATGGTATATTAGCTGCCTGGACATGAGTTTGGGATTTTCTGCAATAATGCAAGTCGGTGTAATCTACGCGTGCGCAGTACTCCTAACTTGTGTACCCTGATTTGATAAAAAAGAAGTGTTGAGACAGAATTAAGAGAATTTTTTACGTGCGATGGCCTAAACGGCCTAGATGGGTCCCCGAATTGACCTGTGTGACACGCTTTACCATGCATGCATTGGCGCATGCAGAAGCAATAGGTACATCGACCAGGGCGCATGCTGCTTCTCGAGCGTAGCGTGTAACGAACGACCGGCTATTAATCAAACCTCGTGATTGTTGATTAGGTGAATCTGGCTTGTGGAATGGAGTAGTACAAAGAAACGAGCTAGCTACACGACCCATGCATGTGACGGGCAGCTACTCCAGCTAGCGTATATCGGCCCTCTTTACGGGCAGCTACTCCAGCTAGCGTATAGCGTATATCGGCTATTTTCACAGTTGCGTTGCCAAACAATTAATCTTCACTACATCAGCTTTACGAGCGAAATAAGTCCACGGCCGAATCAATAAGTCCAAGATGCAGTACGTAAATAATGACGCAGTTAAAATCTGTGAAGAATGATGCAGAACACACGTAGTACGATCGCCATTCGTGATTAATTCAGGCTAATTTCATCCGGGCTTGTTTCTTTCGGAAACATCACACTATCGTACGTACTTACGCATAAGATTCGCTGCGGAGGAATGCAGGTGCTTAAACTTGCGCTGCAAACTACGGCTGTATACAATGGAGTTGCAAGATGTACAAGTTCGGCTCAAGTCATTAACACGCGCACATGATTAGTCGCGGTGAAAGAGTTTCCTCGCATACTGTGGCACATGCTACGATCGCTAGCTAGGGAGACGGAGACCTTACCCGCCTAGTGGGTCAACACACGTCACAGCGAGACAGAGCGTACGTGTGAATCTGCACAAGTTGCAAATGATTCCCGTCTTCAAGCCTGGCCTGCAAACCGGACATCGCATCGTCCGCGGATAATGAGGACCAATGCACCAACACCGGTGTGAAAACCGACCATCTAACACTATCCGATACAGTTCAAATCAAGTTTAGAAAAACCGGGCGGATTTCATTAATGTTCTGACATAATTACATAAAAAGGTCAATATTTCGACTGTTTAGCTAAAAACTACAATAAAAGGACATATAGACCCTATACCGGATGATCACCTCGTATGCGTGGCCGTCTTGCTTGTCGCACCGCCGTCCATGCCGTAGTCGTCATCGTCCCTGACAGTCTTGTCCAGCTGCGCCTGCCGCTAACGGAGGAGCCGCTCCGCCTCCTCCTGCACGGTGCGGAGGACCGCCGCAGCCAATGCAGACGGCGCCCGCGGTGCTTTGACGACAGGCTTGTCCCTGCCGGCGAGGAGTCTCTAAGCAACCACTCCTCGCCGATTTTGGCAAACTCATCATCAAGGCGGCGCCGGCGCCTAGCGGCTGTCTCCGCGGTGGTGATGGAGCGGTTGAGCGTCCGCCCGACGGCTAGGCCGAGATCGTTTCAGACCCATTTCAACGTCGTGTTGGACTTGCCCAAATTAGTCAAACGCAGGCGTGCCAGCGATACGGCGCCCGCAAAGCTCCCCCAACAATTTGCCTCGAGTTTGTGAAAAAAAGTGCGTCTGAACTGATGCAGGCCCGCATTGAATGGCAAAACACGTCCGAAACAAGTGGCGCGGACAATTGTGAATCCTTTAAGGGTCCATTAGAGATGCCCTTACATTTGCAAACGTTTTCCTAAATGGGTTTAGTATACAGGAATTCATGCTCAACTGCTTTCCTGAAGTTGATTTTTCTCGTCAAAGGGGGAGAAAGAACGTCGTAAAACCTTTAAGTTAAAAGGAGAGTTTTCTCGAATATGCACGGGTGCGTGTATTATTTATTAAAGATTAAAGAAGGAGAGAGAAGACTCCCCGAAGATCACTACAAAGCAGAGCTTTTACAGAGCTCTGAACATTTGCTTCTGGCAGACTAATTATGTACTGATCTTCTTTTTCCTTTTCAAGCAAAACTAAGCAGTGGTTACTACAAAATCTAAGAAAACAGTGATCCGCTAATCTTTCATGTCGCCAAAAATCAAATAAACCTCCGCTGCTCCATCATTAGTGTGCATCGACATATCAGGTTTGCTTCTAGTAGTAGTTAATTGCTCCGTGCGAAGGAAGCAAATCACTAGAAAGTTATATAATTCGTCAATAAAAACAAGAAAAGTTACATTGGCATCGACGAACTACACACATATTATAATTATAATATATAAAGATAAAGAGCCGATGGGCACGTATGCGTAAGTTGTACACATACCTAACCGTAGGGAGAGGCACCAACGACAGCAGCACGAAATCCTTGGTCGCTCGGCTCCTTTCCTTTGTCCGCAAGTCCCAGTCTTTACAGCCACCCGGAGTTGTCTCCCTCCGGGCTCCGGCGAGGTCGGCAAGCAACGAACAAATCCGAGCTGCATGCACTGCCCCGCGCCTCACGCACTCATTCATGTATATAAATAAACCGCAAAGCCGTCCAGTTTCTGAAAGCGCGCGTCGTCAGGCATTCCATTCCAGTATTTTACTGCCTCAATCGTCAGACCATCAGCGACAGAGAGCTCGTGTAAATAACCGAGTGGCGGTATTCTGCGGAAGTGCAGTACGTACGTCGGGCGAAAATGGCCGACAACTTGAAGCCCGTGGCCCTCTTCCTGCTGATGCTCAACTTGTGCATGTACCTCATCCTCGCCATCATCGGCGGGTGGGCGGTCAACTTGGCCATCGACCGCGGCTTCATCATAGGTACTGCTCTGCTCTGCTCTGCTCTGCTGCTCGCCCGAAACCTCAAAGCCATAGTAACAGAGCTAGAGCCTGCCCGGTTGTTGATTTGTGATTGCCTGCAGGCCCCGAGCTGCGTCTCCCGGCGCATTTCCACCCGATATTCTTCCCCATCGGGAACTGGGCCACCGGCTTCTTCGTGGTGTTCGCGCTGCTCGCCGGCGTCGTCGGGGCGGCCTCCTGCATCGTCGGCTTCACCCACGTCCGCTTCTGGAACTACAGCAGCCTGCAGCCCGCGGCGTCGCTCGGTCTGCTCGCCTGGGCCCTCACCGTCTTGGCCATGGGGTAAGCACGCGCGTTTCTCAAGTTACGCCATCTCATCTCTACCAAATCAACTCGGTAGGTCTGACAGAACCTTATATATCATGGATAAAATTGCTGCAGGCTGGCTTGCCAGGAGATCAGTTTCGACCGAAGAAACGCGAAGCTGGTAAGATTCCTCCCGCTTTTGTCCTCGCCCTGTGCTTCGTCAGGTACATATGGGGGGTTTGTGAACTGATCAACGCTCTGGGTTGGCAGGGGACCATGGAGGCCTTCACGATCGCCCTGTCACTGACGCAGCTCGTCTACATCCTCGCGATCAAGGCGGGCGGTCACGGACCCGTCCACGTCGAACGGCAGCACAACGCCTTGGGCCGCTGAGCGGGTCCGAGGATACGGATTACGGACGCGTGAGAAGGAGCAGAGCCGCTGGAGAAAGTTTGCGTGTTGTTGTTGTGCTTTTCGCTTGATGTGATGATTCTTTGAGTTTGGCGTTGTAATATATTGTGCATTCCTCTGGCCTTTGGATTTATTGATTGATGAATTCAAGCATCTGGAAAATCTGATTTCTTAGGACGTGCAACAATCGTCATCACAGTACATACGTGTTCTTTTATTTATAAACAGAGCTACTACTCCGATTTCTATTAAGAGAAATCACAATGTTGTTACAGCTACCGGAACTAGCAGAAAATAACTAAAAAAAACGACGAATGATCTTTTTTCGAATATAACCTCAGATCTATTAACAAGCAAAAAGCAATACAAGGCAACCCTGAAAAACACATAAATTACAAATCAGTCCTTGTGAAGTAAGCCATCCTAAAGGAGCAAGATGAGAAACAGCCATCGACCCCCAAAGATTACAAAGGGATAAATCGACAAACTACCGATACCCCACAAACCAACAGACTCCAAATCCACCTTTCTCGGAGTCTACAAGCCAAATCTCCAGGAAATAGATTAGAACACACTCCCTCCGTCCGAAAATACTTGTCGGATGAATTGATATATTTAGATGTATTTTAGTTCTAGATACATCCATTTTTATGCATTTCTCCAATAAGTACTTCCGGACGGAGGGAGTAGATTTCAAACAAATTCCAAATTATTATAAAAACTGCAAATGAGGCCAAAAGAAAAGCATGACAGCAAATGCATTCTTCAACATCAGCCTGGCTAAGGAGTAAAGGATTTTTTCTCTCTGCAAATCATCCAACCAAGATTCTGTTAGTCCCGAATCTCCGTCCATGTGTTGCCTTAAAGACTTCATTGACAAATAACTCAACCATTCTTATGCGTCACTTCATTGTTCCTTGTCTTTCTAGGTTTATCTGCAAAATATTCCAATCATGTAGCCACTTAATAATTAGATTGACACAAAAGGATCAACCACCTTGTTATTATAAAAAAATGGTACTATTTTCCAATTTCCATATGGTCCAAAAAATAACAGATACACCAACCATCACTGGTGCGCGTCGGTGCTATACAAACGGTTTTCAATCCCTTTCCGCGACGGTGTTCGGAACCGTCGCCAAGTGAGTGACTGTGATAGGGGGGGTCCTTCCCACCCAACTCAGAAACCGTCGGGGATATGCCCTCCTGGCACAGACGCTCGGCAAAATGAGGTAGTGTGCGACCGGCGAGCGCTCAAATACGGTTATACGTACAATAGTGTTAAAAAATATAATTATACATGCGAAATCGTTTTCGGTCGTAAGTACATCCCGCACAGTCAGTCCCCGCTAAACGTTTCCGTTCGTATATACATTCCACACAGTCCATCCAAGGAATACGTTTCCGTTAATATGTACATCTCACACAATTAATTCAAGAAGTACCTATCGCACGCGCTCTTCTATGACCAAACGTTTGTGATGCGCACAACATCACAAACAGTCCATAATTTCGAAGCGTGTGTGATACGGCGACTATCACAAACATTTAATAAGAAAGAACTGTGCGCGATGCTGTTGTTAATCACACACATTTTTTCTTGGCTGATCCTGTGTGCAGTGGAGATTGATCTCACACGTTTTTTCTTTGCTGACCGTGTGTGCAGTGGAGATTGATTGCACATGTAGCGGATCTTAGAAACATGTTTGATCTCCACGTCTATTGCAGACTTTCGCTTTCGCCAACCGTGTGCAGTGTAATCCCTAATTAATCCCTAATTTAAAAATCATATATTTTGAATTGGATAGTAGGCAATCACTTATTTCATATCCAACCATGTTTATTACAAATATAGGTTCAACCATGAATGCATAATTTGATGCATAGGTACATATACCGAAGAACTACAGAAGCGCCAAGTAATGAACCACAGTTGTACTAAAGACTGTAAAGATAGAGGCGAAAAACATTCTGATTGCTGGAGAAGGTGAAGCGGAATGTTCATATTGTGCCCACCTCCATGCGTAATGCGCGCACGACTCTAGCCCAACCCCTTGTGATGGCTTCCCGTCCATCCTTCACAATCTTCATTACGACTTCTCGATGCTCATTGTAGTCTGGATGAAATACTTTAACCTTCATTACGTGTCCACCAGTCATGTACTTTACGAGGTAATCCTGAGTGAACTGCTTCGGGAACCACTGCGAACAAAAAAGATTCAGACATTGTTGTGTAACAACTCATTATGGGCAATAAAAAGAGAAGGCTGCAGAGTTTGTAGTTACCATCCTACAGCTCACTGTTGTGTTGGATAGAGCATAAACAAATAATTTGCTTGCCACCATTTGTATCTTTTTAGTAATAATCCTTATCAATTTCCTCACTTGATGCTTGTTCATGAATATCTCATTGCCCCATACGCAAAAAGGGTCGATGCGTGGATCCTTGCCAAGGGCATATGTACCTACAAGCAACAAGTCAATATTAGAAGTTAACAAGTGTCCATGAATGTATCTATATGCACTACATTATGGAACGACATGGGGAGTACAAGCCGAGGGATGAAGCTGTGACGCCCCCGATTCAATCGTACACTAATCATGCATGCAAATGTGTACGATCAAGATCAGGGACTCACGGGAAGATATCACAACACAACTCTAAAAGTAAAATAAGTCATACAAGCATCATATTACAAGCCAGGGGCCTAGAGGGCTCGAATACAAGTGCTCGAGCATAAACGAGTCAGAGGAAACAATAATATCTAAGTACAGACATAAGTTAACAAGTTGCCATAAGATGGCTAGCACAAACTGGGATATAGATCGAAAGAGGCGCATGGCTCCTGCCTGGGATCCTCCTAAACTACTCCTGATCATTGTCAGCGGCCGGCACGTAGTAGTAGGCACCTCCAGTGTAGTAGGAGTCGTCGTCGATGGTGGCATCTGGATCCTGGGCTCCAACATCTGGTTGCGGCATCCGAGAAGAAAAGGAAAGAGGGGGAAAAGAGGGAGCAAAAGCAACCGTGAGTACTCATCCAAAGTACTCGCAAGCAAGGATCTACACTACATATGCATGGGTATATGTGTAAAGAGGCAATATCGGTGGATTGAACTACAGAAATGCCAGAATAAGAGGGGGATGGCTAGTCTTATCGAAGACTACGCTTCTGGCAGCCTCCGTCTTGCAGCATGTAGAAGAGAGTAGATTGAAGTCCTCCAAGTAGCATCGCATAGCATAATCCTACCCGTCGATCCTCCCCTTGTCGCCCTGTGGGAAAGCGATCACCGAGTTGTCTTTGGAACTTTTCTGAGTGTGTTTTATTAAGTATCCGGTTCTAGTTGTCGTAAGGTCAAGGTACAACTCCGGGTCGTCCTTTTACCGAGGGACACGACTATTCGAATAGATCAACTTCCCTGCAGGGGTGCACCACATAACCCAACACGCTCGATCCCCTTTGGCCGGACACACTTTCCTGGGTCATGCCAGGCCTCGGAAGATCAACACGCCGCAGCCCTACCTAGGCACAATAGAGAGGTCAGCACGCCGGTCTAAATCCTATGCGCACAGGGGTCTGGGCCCATCGCCCATTGCACACCTGCATGTTGCGTATGCGGCCGGTGAGCAAACCTAGCAACCTCCATTACAAAGGAAGTTGCGTTACGCGGTCCAACCCGACGCGCGCCGCTCAGTCGCTGACGTCAAGAAGGCTTCGGCTGATACCATGACATCGAGTGCTGATGACCCACAAGTGTAGGGGATCTATCATAGTCCTTTCGATAAGTAAGAGTGTCGAACCCATCGAGGAGCAGAAGGAAATGATAAGCGGTTTTCAGTAAGGTTTTCTCTGCAAGCACTGAAATTGTAGGTGATAGATAGTTTTGTGATAAGATAAATAGTAACGAGTAACAAGTAAATAAAGTAAATAAAGTGCAGCAAGGTGGCCCAATCCTTTATGTAGCAAAGGATAAGCCTGGACAATTTCTAATAATGAGAAAGGAGCTCCCGAGGACACATGGGAATTATCGTCAAGCTAGTTTTCATCACGTTCATATGATTCGCGTTCGGTACTTTGATAATCTGATATGTGGGTGGACCAGTGCTTGGATACTGCCCTTACTTGGACAAGCATCCCACTTATGATTAACCCCTATTGCAAGCATCCGCAACTACAAAAGAAGAATTAAGGTAAACCTAACCACAACATTAAACATATTGGATCCAGATCAGCCCCTAACAAAGCAACGCATAAATTAGGGTTTAAGCCTCTGTCACTCTAGCAACCCATCATCTACTTATTACTTCCCTATGCCTTCCTCTAGGCCCAAATAATGGTGAAGTGTCATGTAGTTGACGTTCAAATAACACCACTAGAGGAAAAGACAACATACATCTCATCAAAATATCGAACGAATACCAAATTCACATGACTACTAATAGCAAGACTTCACCCATGTCCTCAGGAACAAATGTAACTACTCACAAAGCATATTCATGTTCATAATCAGAGGGGTAATAATATGCATTAAGGATCTGAACATATGATCTTCCACCAAGTAAACCAATTAGCATCAACTACAAGGAGTAATTAGCACTACTAGCAACCCACAGGTACCAATTTGTGGTTTTGATACAAGATTGGATACAAGAGATGAACTAGGGTTTTGAGAGGAGATGGTGCTGGTGAAGATGTTTATGGAGATTGACCCCCTCCCGATGAGAGGATCGTTGGTGATGATTTCCCCCTCCCGGAGGGAAGTGTTCCCGGCAAAACAGCTCCGCCAGAGCCCTAGATTGGTTCCGCCAAGGTTCCGCCTCGTGGCGGCGGAGTTTCATCCCGTAATCTTGCCCACGATTTTTTCCAGGGTAAAAGATCTCATATAGCAGAAGATGGACACTGGAGGCCCACCAGGGGGCCCAGGAGACAGGGGGCGCGCCCAGTAGGGGGGGGCGCCCCCCACTCTCCTGGCCAAGGTGTGGG